AGAAAATAATTTTATTTTTAATATGAAAAAACTCATGATTCTGTTTACAGGTATTAAAAAGCAGGGTTATTCCGAACCAACAGCAATTCAAGCTCAGGGATGGCCTATCGCTATGTCTGGTAAGAACATGGTTGGCATTGCCCAAACTGGATCTGGCAAGACTTTAGCATACATTTTGCCAGCCATTGTTCATATCAATAGCCAACAACCTCTAAATCGTGGCGATGGACCTATAGCGCTTATTCTCGCTCCAACTCGAGAATTAGCTCAACAAATACAAACTGTAGTCAATGATTTTGGCTCGCTCTCTTATGTTAGGAATACTTGTATCTTTGGTGGTGCACCAAAAGGAGGACAAGCACGTGATTTAGAACGTGGAGTTGAAATTGTTATTGCCACACCTGGAAGATTAATCGATTTTCTAGAACGAGGTACTACAAATATGCACAGATGTACTTACCTAGTTCTTGATGAAGCCGATAGAATGTTAGATATGGGTTTTGAACCTCAAATTCGAAAAATTATTGAACAAATTAGACCAGATCGACAAGTTCTCATGTGGTCCGCTACTTGGCCAAAGGAAGTCAGAAATCTTGCAGAGGAATACCTGGTTGACTACACTCAATTAAATATTGGCTCCCTACAGCTTGCTGCCAATCACAATATTCTTCAAATCATTGATGTTTGCCAAGAGCATGAAAAAGAAACAAAGTACGTGGTAACTATAAATAAATAATTATTCTTGTTTATGATGATGAAATAAAAAAAAAGTGATATTTTATGATTGAACTGTTTTTATACCTCTAAGAAGAACTGATAACTTAAAAATTAATTATTAAGTATACCATGTAATGACGATAGATTATCATTGTCTTTTAATATTACAGATTGGGAACGTTACTCCAAGAAATTGGAAATGTTAACGAAGATGGTGGGAAAACCATCATTTTTGTAGAAACAAAGAAAAAAGTTGAGAACATCACAAGGAACATTCGTCGATATGGATGGCCTGCGGTGTGCATGCACGGTGATAAATCTCAACAAGAGCGTGACTATGTACTTAGAGGTGTGTAATTTGAAATATTATTTATCAAGGGATGAAGTTTTAGCAAACCTTATATAACTTTAAGACATGAGATTATTTATTTTATTTTCTTACAGAATTTAGAAATAAGAAAGGATCTATTTTAGTAGCAACTGACGTTGCTGCACGTGGATTAGGTATGTAAAATTCTTTTGAGTTTGTTCAAAATATAATTCGCGAGAATAGATTGAGAAAGCTTATAACAGATAGATTGGGTGGGTGGCGATGTAGCACAGACTGGTTATATGAAGTGATGCCTCGCTCTGAAGAGCTAAAGTGTTAATTATTAATCATTTGATTGGTGTAGCTGGTAGGTTTTCGTCGTCCGGTATTGATTAGAGAATTAAAATTTTTTTTTTATACATATATTTATTTTATTAATGATCTACCAAAAAAAAAACGACAGAAACCCATCAAGTTAATAGATTATTTTTTTTAATTGAATTTTTCAGAATTCGTATTTGTTGTCGCAATTTTCTCAAACTGCACAAGAATTCTATTTTTTATTTTATTTTTTTTTTTTTATTTTTTATTTTTATTTTTTTATAAAAGTAACAAAATTTGCTAATTTGCTAATTCTTGACAATTTGTGTTATTTTTTTTATATTTTTTTTATTTTTCTTCTTTCTTTTCTATTTTCGTTTATAACTTGGTTTTTTCTTTTTTTTCTTCATATTACATTAAGCATATGTTAAAATAAATTTTGTACTTAGTATGTTATAATAAAGTGATTGGCTTAGGATTTGGGAAATGGGAGATTCAAGATGAAGCTACTTGTGCAGATAATATTGAGAACAGATTTTAAATACGGAAGCCGTGAACAGCCTATAAAATATGTTAAGCGTGGGCATCTTATAATTTATGTTAATCAGTCTGGTTGTCTTTTGTTTCAGAGGCACATGGTGCACAGATTATGATGAGTGTGCGATGAGCAAGCAATTGATGAACAGCATGAAAAATACCATGGCTCACTCACTGTCTGTGCTCTTGATAAGACTATATATAAAAGCGATATATAGACAATAGTACACGCAAGCACTTTTCTGAGGTGTAATTGTGTACTAAAATGTGCCTCTGTGTACAGCCTGTGTACCACGCATTTACAAAACAAAAAAGTAAATATAAAAAGAAAGTAAGAGGTGGTGCTCAGGTTATTTTGCCTTGGAACGTTGGCTTCTGGTTTTACGTAACTTCCACACACTCCACATAGCCAATGCTCTCAACATGTGCGAGACAACAATCGTTTGATTTAGCTATTATCGCTACTCAATGGTAATATATAGGAACAGGATCTTACGAAATATGAACTTGCATTCAAGAGTGCACACATAAAATGCATTACAACATTCATGGTTTGTATTTTTATTTAATGACGCTGCAGTTATTTATATACAACATAGTTTTTATTTTTAAATATAACTTCTCCTTCTCTCTTGAGCCATTGATTTACCCAGTTTAATTTTAATTTGTAATTATTATATTATCAATATAATGGGCAGCATTAAAATACATTACTTTATGAACATGAATGAAAAGTTAAATTTTTCGAATTAATTTTAAATCGCTTATGATGTTACAATAAAAATGGTTTGTATTAACGCACTTTTTCTTCTAGACGTCGATGATGTTAAATACGTCATAAACTTTGATTATCCATCATCATCTGAAGACTACATTCACCGAATAGGCCGAACTGGTCGTTCTCAAAGTTCAGGAACCAGTTATGCCTTCTTTACCCCTCAGAATGGACGACAAGCTAAAGATCTCATAAACGTTCTTAGAGAAGCAAACCAGATAATTAACCCTAAGTTATCTGAATTAGCGTCCAAAGGAGGAAATAATTTCGGAGGACGCAGTAAGTGGATTCTTCATTTCAATTGATTGTTAAATTTGAAAAATTTGTGAAATTAAATTTTGTTAATGTCAATAATAACTTGTTTTATTTTTCAGATCGATGGGGCTATTCCGGTGGACGAGGACGAGAAAATACCTTTTCCGGCACACACAAACGATTCGATAATAATAGGAGTAATGGATATAATAATTATAGTTGACTTTCTGATTTAAATATAGAACACAAATACTGAGCAAAAGCCGAATACTTGAGGACTTAGATTTAACTATTCGTTTTCAAACTGTGATTAGAAAAACTGTCCTATAAAGTGGTTCGTGCGTTTAAGAAATGCCAGTTGTGTGTTTAATTTCATTCGACCCATTTTTAATTTATGATATTTAGATTTTCTTATAAATAGAACTTAATTGGTTCTATACCTTAATATTTTATTGCGTGATATGCGATAAAATAACCATAGTCTAATAACAATTTTGTATTTCCAATCAATAAAACATTAGCAAAGTGGATTAAATATTTCACCTTGCTTTTTAAAAAGTTCATTTATGGAACTTAAAATATATAATTTGCATTTTGTAAAAAATCTTATATAAGATTAATTTTTTAAGAATTTCGTATTTTGCAAAATTTGCAAATAACTTTTGAAATTCTTTATCATTGTTTCAAATACAAATCTATAAAGTACAAACCTTTTGACGAGCACTGTTTTGTTGTCGAAGGCAAATTGAGGCGTATGGACCATTAATACATTGCAGTATTCATTCCAATATCTCATAATACAATGTTAACTATGTCCTCACATTTTTATTCAAATATAAATATGAAGTTATTGGTATTTATCTTAAAGCAAATTTGGCAAAAATCATGTTTAAATATACGTTTTACATAGTAACTGTCTTATTATTATTTTTTTTTTTTTTTTTTTTGCTATGTGCATAATCTTAAAAGAAATTATAATGCGCACACACACATGTATATGTATATATATATATATATATATATATATATGCGTGTGTGTGCATATGTATATATATATATACGTATGAATATGTGTGTGTATATATACATATATAAACACGTGTTAATTAAATTGTAAGCAGTAACAAATAAAAAAAATTATGACTAGTATAATGTATTTTATTTTAAAATGCCTATCTTTTAATTTATACTCATTGTTGAATTGATTTTACGCAATAAAGTAGAGTCTCGTTTAAATGAATTAAGTGATTATAATCAAAACAAATTGTTTGCAAACTAAGTGGCTTATTAATTTTTGTTTTACGAGTTAAATAAAAGTAAATTATTAAAAAATTGATGATTAATATGAAAAATAAATTTCTATGTATAATAAAGTTTAATATTTAAATATTTTCTTTTTAAATATATTTGTATTTTTACGTTATAATTACATTAATAAAAAGAATTAAAAAAAAATTAGAATAAGAAGAATTTAAAATAATTTTTACTTGTATAAAGGATATATGTAAGATTTTCTAATTATTTATTAACGTAAGAATTTTATTTTGCGATTTTTATTTATAATAATTGATTAACACAATATACATAATTTTCTAGTTATTTATCCATACAATTGAACAAGTTATTAAGAAGATAATTTTATTAATATTTTCTTTAACATTATTTCACGTTTAATGCTACCAAACGCGAAAAACTCGTCAAGTCTTAAAATTAAAAATTTAACAGATGACGTTTATTTAGTTAGCCACGAGTAAATTGTGGAATTTAATGGAATTAGAACTTCAAATATCAAATTTTATATCCAAATGATTCCGTTATTTTTTACTCGTATTTTGCAAAGGATATATTGAGAAAATATATAAGTTAAAAGTGTAATGATTTTATGGATAAGTAACATAAATAAAAGTAAATCAGATCAAAAGATGCATACCTTTCTAATAAAAGCCGTATTTGCAGTTTGCTAAAAAGCGCAAATTTTCTACTTTTTAAAAAGGAGAATTTTGTTTAAAAGATTAGCAAAGAATCAAATTGATTATTAAATTTTTGCATGATACTCGATTAATTACCTAATGAAATATATGGATCATTTAAAAATAATACAGAATGAAACGTATTTTAATTTATAATTCAATAGAATGACCATGTAAATACAGAATTATAATGAAACTAATGACTTCCATCGATTAATAGATATTTATAATTGACAGAAAATAATATAAGATTTGGTTTACTTTTAAACGATAAGCAAAGCCAAACGTGTATTAAGTTTGAAGACAGGGCGCCCTATATAATTTTATCATGGTTTCTGCTATTATTCCAGGATATGGTACGTGTCGTAATTTCTTTCAGGTACAATCAACCAACACGACCCTAAAGAATTATTAAAGTTAATCGTTGATTCAATCCTCGGTTACTTTAATATCCCAAGTTGAGATTCTCAAAGTCTCACAAGGCGATTGTTGCTTTATCGAAAGAGCTATGTCGAAATATATAGAACTTACGTCATGGGATATTCCCTTCTCTCTGCGACGATAGAATATGTTTGAATTTTGCACCTACTTGCAATTATTAAATACTTAACTATTTAAAATATTAATGGCTGCAATATTGTCCATTTGGTAGTGACGTATAACGTGGCAATCACGACGGGGCAGAGAACTGTTAAACAATTCGAGCATTCATCAAACGGCAGCGATAGGTGAAGGGCAGGAGGGAGGGAAGAAGCACAATATCTTTCTATACTACTGTTCGATAAGCCGATCTTATATATATCTATATCTATCTATCGATGTCGATAAACTTTTTAATATCTTTTAAAATCTCGAATAACTCTCTTCGGAAAATTACTTTTTCCACAGAGTTAAAGTGAGATCGGCTAATGCAGCCCCACTGATGAATTTAATAGGCCAAACAAAGACGAGTATATATATATATATATATATATATATATATATATATATATATATGCCAGTGGATAATAGTTTTCCGCATCTTAAGCATCGAGAGCCTTGCAATCTAAGGTAATGCCGTCGCCCCTGCCCCCTCCAGCCGACATTCAGCGAACGTGATTGAACATAAAATCATCGATCATTGGGTCGTAGAAACAAAAGAAAGCACGTTTATTTTTCTTTAGTTTCTTTAATAGTATTTATATTATGGTATAGAGTATAAAAAATGTATAATTGTCCTTCTCCTTATTGATCCCGCGTCAGCGGCGTTAGATGCTTTAACACATGTGTAGCGGAACATTAGAACATGAGAATAAAAAGGTGAACACGCGGGGAGTTCAAAGTTACGTAAAACAAGTATCGTAATATTATTAGCTATTTTTAATAATTAATAGTAGACAGTTCTGTATGATCACAAATTCATTAAATGATTGAGGAAAACTCGGAGCATCCAGACAATTAGCCTAATCTTTAATCCGACGTAGTTATCCTTTTCATTAATTTTATTCTATAATATAAGAGCTATGAATGATAATCTAACGACAGGTCATTAGATGTTTGAAGAAAGATGAGCACTCACGAAAAAGAAATAGTACTCGATAATACAAAATATGAAAATGCTTCGTGCGATCGATTCCGACCATTAAATTCAGATAGATTTTCCATTAAATAAAAATTGTTGAAATTTTTATCAAAGATGCAACTCCATTTATTAATTTAAAATAAAATTTTTAAATCATAATACCCTTTCGGCTCAATCGTCATCATTAGAATTCTGCGATGTTCAGGATGACCGAGATATTGCAAACCATCTTAATTTTATACATATTATGCATTATCGAGAATTTTATTTAAAATAAAAAAATTTTTTTGTCTAATAGAGATCTTTTATTTTATCGACTAATCGTAAAATTGCGGTTAAAATTTTTTGGAAATGCAGACACGAAGCATTAAATAAATTTGTTTAACGCCAAAATCGACAATCAATGATTCTTGATGTACCGAATGCATTATGGATCAATGTTATTTACGTTTCCCACGTGTAGCTACATTGCGACTTCTGTTATAACCTAAAATTTAATATAAAATTTGGGTAAATAATTGAATAAACAAGCACATGATAATAAAAAGTAAATATGGTCAGAAAATTGAAATATCACGAACAAAAGTTATTGAAGAAAGTTGATTTTATTTCCTGGAAAGCTGACAACAATTTACACGAAGTAAAGGTTTTAAAACGTTATCACATACAGAAAAGAGAAGATTATACTACGTAATAAAAGAATACATTTTTTTTTTTACTAAATATTTCTTCAATAAAAAAATTATATTAACGGTTTAATATTTTTAGGTATAATAAGTTATCTAGAGAAATTCGAGAATTAGCAACAAAAATTAAAGAATTGGACAACGACAGTATATTTAGAACTGAGCAAAGTGCTACTTTATTGGAAAAATTGTATATATTGGGACTTATTCCAACAAAATGGGATTTATCGTTATGTCAAAAAATTACTGCTAGTTCATTTTGTAGGAGAAGATTACCAGTAATTATGGTGCGCAGTAAGATGAGCGAAAATCTTAAAATGGCAACGCAATTGATCGAACAAGGCAGTAATTAAGGATCCTGCATTTTTTGTAACAAGGTAAAATTTTTGTTTCGTAAAGGGTACAAATTATTTCAATTGAAATTCATCGTTACAGAAATTTGGAAGACTTTGTTACGTGGGTCGATACTTCAGCTATAAAGAAACATATAATGAATTATAATGACATGGTAAGTATACTACTAATGTTTTGCAACATTTGCATAAGATGTAATGTAAATTTTTAATAGTCGATTTAAATTTTCCGCTCAACCATTCGTTTTTATTAAACTTTTAAATATGTAAAAATTTGCTTACTAATTTTTTTGATAAAAAAATTGGAATAAATTACATGCATTAATAGAGACTCGAGTAATCTGTCGATGCTACTTGATATAAATAGGTATAATATTATAGTTTTTTTTACAAATGAAAATATTATGCATTTATTATGGATTAATTTGATTATTAAACTTGTAGGAAGTAATCGTAAAGATTTTGTAGCATAACTCGTTGACTTCTATATAATGTTGCAATTAAATTTATCCATGTTTATTAAAAATTTCTCGTACCTTTACATTTGCAAATTCTGAACATGATGTAAGAACTGTTTTATATGGGGAAAAAAACAAAACAAAACAAAACAAAACAAAACAAAACATACACCTTTCTTTTAATATAAAAATGTCTATATCATTGACGATAAAGCGCGCTTATTAATGTCAAAAATAAAATAAAATGCATAAAACCATGTGAGTAGTATTTGTCACGATTGATACTGCTTGCTTTAAAAAGTCCATATTAAATTCAATTCAATAGCAAATATTAACGATAATATCATATGGAGCTAAAATATTAGTATTAGCCGTCGGTCATTTATTTACTTGAGCATTCGACTGCCGATATTAACTATACCACAACAAAATAACAATATACATTTACTATTGACAAGTAATATCCATGACGCTGATTTATTTATTTTTCTTTTGTTTCAGCGAGATGACTTCGTAATGTAATGCTTATACGTCAGAAACATGTGTATATTATTTAGTTTATTATTAATTATAAGTTGTAAAAATAAATAAGTATTTTAGACGAGTGAAATTATTATTTTAAAATCACCCGACATACATAACACTAATGCACCCATGTTCCGAATGGCTAATTTACGCGCTTACGTAATTTGCTCGCAACGCGCGTAACGACTGTAACGGCTGTAACGGCTGTAACGCCTGTAACATTAAATCGAACGATTTGCAGCCGATTAAAGTAAGTAATGGGTCTGTAGTACGGAGATATTATCGTTGTATAAGGCACATTTAAAAAGCAATTTAATGATTTGTAAGATCGCTCGGAGGCGGTATGAATTTGAAAGTTAAAATGTTGGAACGACGGAACGACTGGGTGTTGAGAATGGGAGAATGGGGAATTGGGACGCAGACGGCATTTCCCGCCAACTCGTGTACACCGCCTCGACCTCGCCGAGTCCGCAAACAGAAGCAGCCATCGTGAAGAGTTTCCCTTCAGCAAGCCGTCAACATGTTGAGCGTGGCGCAAGCAGTTCACCATCCGGAAACACCGGGATCGGGGTCAAAACATTCGGGTTTGCATAAACATTCACATTTCAGTATTTACATTCATTACCTTCAACATGTTCGTTGGTTTCACTTTTAACAGATATCTCATTGTAAACGATAATTTTGCAAATTCTTCATCTCTGTATGTAACATTAAGTGATCTTTACGAAATTTAATTAAATAAATCTGTGCCTAAGTGTCGCATGTAATTTCATCAATTTATTTGTTCCCATTGTTATGTGCATCTTAATGTTTACATCATTCCTGTTTCTATCTCTTTTAACCATTTCTTTTTGATAGAAATACTTGTAAACGAGTGTTTTTCTGATATTGCAGTGCGCCCTTGGTCTTCAGAAAGACCTAATATGCTCAAGCGTAGAAAGACAGAGTCGGATTGTTGTGTTGTTGACAAGAAATCGGCTAAGAGCTCAATAGAGAATTTAACAAAGTCTTTGAATTTTAATAATCCAGAGATAACTTTGACTCTCATTCATAAAAATAACAATCAAAATGAATTCAAGGAACTTTTACATGGTAAAATAAAGACATCCCCGGTTATTGAAAAGAAAGAATCGACCGTTAATGACAACAAGACTCAAGAAGAGATAAAAGAGAGTGACAGAATACCCACCAATATACCACCTGTAGTTATTTATTTTTTAGAGAATTCAGAGGAAATTCAATTAACGAAGCTTGGTTCAAACGAGAATATAAAGTTAATAAATCAGAGTGAAATTAATAATTCGGAAATTGAGGAAAGTGAGCAATGTCTACCTGAATCCGTTGAAAAGTTGACCGATACTTCGAAGCAAAAAAATAACTTTCTTGATTCAAATTCAATAGAACTTTCGGAAGTCACTATCGAACCATGCCCAAATTTTAATAAATCCAAGTTAGTAGAGTCGCCGCTTCCTCCTACTTTGAACGATTCTAAAGTACGAAAAATTGTTAAAACTCAAACGAAGCTAGAAAAAGCCCAAGAATTATTAAAGAGAAAGGAACAGTCGATAAGTAGGTCTCTTGTCTCTTCTAGCATTAATGAAACTCTCGAGACTAATTTAAAAGTAACTTTTAATTATGAGGCTAAATCTGACATTTCTGAAACAGTTACGGAGTCAAACTTTGACTCATCTAATTGCATGAAACAAACTTCTCTGTTCGATGAAGAATCAGAGCATCATGTACCTGTTTCGTCAATCTCTGATTTTGAACCTTTCAATTTTGGAGTTTCTTGCGATCATTTTTATGCAAACAACAAGGACAAACCATATTACACTACTGGATTTCCAAATCCACCGGGAGAAAATAGATGTTGGACTAACGCAACTTTACAAGCATTATTTACATTACCTATAATCAGTAAGCTGAATACCTTAGATATGCCTGAATGCTCAAAATTAATAACGTCACTCATTAATATACAAACACTTTGGCATAAAGGAAATACCGGTAGTCATCATTTTGACCAAATATTTTCGTAAGTATTATTTGCAATTGATTCCAATACGCTTCAATTTATCGTGTAAATTTATGTAAAATAGTCAATTTGTTTATTATTTACAGCATTTTTAAAGAAGAATTATCTACGCTAGATAAGTTATATTCTTCCAAAGCTCAGCAAGATGTTTCTGAGTTTGTCATGAATTTATTAAATTTTATAAAAACCGAATTTGAAAACTTATTAATAAAGGAAGTACATAGCAATGAAATTGAAAATATACCAAATAATGAACAAGATACACTTCCAAGAGCGCAAAGTAGTACAAACGACTCAAACAAAAGATTACCCTTGGCTGATATTTCTGCTTTTGCTGGACAGCTTAGAAGTAATAATCTTGCTGCACATAATGGACAACAAGATGTTTTAAATGTTAAAGCAAATACATCGCCAATAAAATTAAAGCAGGATAATCAAATTGAAATAAACTCTAATCCAATCGATGAATACTTTTCACTGTTCATGATGGAAAACTATGTCTGTGATAATTGTTCGAAACAAAGACAACAAAAAGTTGAAAATTTAATACTATTTATCGATTTGCCATCCGAAGATCATGGGACCACCGTCAATTTAGTTGATTTAATTAATACAACATATGCTTTGGAACAGAGACATATGACATGCGAGTCATGTAAGCATGATGTGCACAGCATGGTAACAAAATTGAAAAAACTTCCTAAAATTCTTATAGTCCAAGTAAAACGATACGAAATGACAAAAGACGGAATAATAACAAAAAAATGTACTTTGGTTGATATCCCAAAACTGCTGAAACTTAATTCTCTTGTAATGTATGTTTTCATCATTTACAATTAACAATGCTTTGAAACTTGGACGATGTGATATTGATATTTGACAATTTATTATATTTTTATTCCAGCAACAACGATGAAGAGTTTAATCATTTTCCAGAATATGAACCAATTTGTATAATATCACATATAGGTGATAATATCGACTCTGGACATTACATAAGCTTTGTAAAGCACGAAGGCAATTGGTTTTATTACGATGATATGAATGTAAAATTACTTTCCGATGATGAAGTTTTTAAATGCATTCAAAGTAACGCCTATGTAATTTTCTATCAAGACACTCGACTTAATGAAAATCTTAATATTACAATTGATCAAAAAAGCAAAAAGGAAAGTATTACTTGTTAACAGTAAATACGTGTATAATATAAATTTATTTTTTTTTTTTTTTTTTTTTTTTTTTTTTTTTATTATCTAATTTAATTACAATTGAAGAATTTAGAGTGTAATGAGATAAATTTGTAATATTTCATTCAGCGTTTAAATTTGGGAAAATATCACATCTCACAAAAATTTTTTTCGGCTAAGCATCAGTTACATTACTTCGACTCTCTTCGGTTAAACTGTCGAGTTAAGAAGTCCTTGTACAATTCTCTCTCATTTTATCTATCGAGAAATATCTTTCAAAAGAACATTAAAATATTTATTTTTCTATTAATGAATAAGTAGGTCAACTAATAATATTTGAAAAGATATTTCGACATTAAAAATTATTTACCGGGTTGTTTAAGTCTGTTGTATGCATTTTATAATAAGGAAAGCTTTCTAAAATCTACTTCCATGACTTTGGTTTAGAAACAATACTCGTATTTTAAGGAGGAGCGCGATTTTATCTATTTTGAAGATGGTGATCTGGAGTTAAAATTTTAATGAGTTACAGATTTATTGCTATAACAGGCAGGTCGATTCGTCCTTAAAAGGCTCTTGCCACTACAACCTTCTCTTAACTGGAACAAATAAGCTTTACTTGTCAGTCACGGAATCTCGCCGTTCCAAAAGGAACTTGCGCCTATTCCTTCCTTTCAAACATTTCCCTTTCACTCGCTTCACTTTCTCGTAATTCGGCTATTTGATTCGGATATTTAATTATCCTATCCCACTAACTACATCAATTAGTTTGAATAATTGCAACCGCGTGTATGCACAGATCGTGCCACATTCGATACTGCGTCTATTTTCTACCTAATTATATAAAAATCACCAAACTATCATCTGGACCGCTAGTCGTTTGTCTCATTGTAAGATTCAAAATTAATTCATAATTTGGAAAAAAAAAAAAAAAAAAAAAAAACATCTCACAATACACAGTAAACGGATAAACACAAATCAAAGTAGCCATCCAACTTCGATTTGCTTTTTATAAATAATGTCTAAGTGTAAGAATATTTTGTGTTACTTTCAAACGATATAATATCAATATTTAATAACAAGCCATAACTTATTCAACGAAAACTTTAATAGACGATTGAAACTAGTTATCCTGAAACTGTATTAATTTTGACAATGTTATATTCAAGAATTTATAATCATTAGTTTGATAATAGTTTGTTATTACTTTTGCAATATTATGTAAAATATTTTTATATTAAATGACTGCTTGGCTCGTATTAAATTTTTGTGACTAAATATATGTATTAACATTTTGAATAATCAACTTTCACATATTTATCAAGTTTCAAACAATAAATCATGTTTGTTAATTTTCTATTTCATAATTTTTGTAAGAATATGAGAAAAAAAATGTATAAGCAAGCAAGGATTTTAATTGAATATGTGATAGTTGATTGTAGATTAATAAGTTTACTGTTTTTGAACAGTAAAAAGCGCAAGTGTCTTGAACTATAATAATTTATATTTGCATATGTACATAAAACAATGTAAAATAATTAAATACTGCGGCTGTAAACATTAATAATGTATAATATTTAAAAATGAAGAGATCTTTAAATATGGCTAAGTTAATGGATGATTTAGTAATAGGCATGTAATTTACATCTTCATTGTAAAAGATTGCAAAGTTTTTATATGAATATTGTACATGTATATGATAGATTAGTATAAACATATCTTGACTTTATAAGTAAATCCAAAGCACATTCATATTAAATTTAGTCGCATTTGCTGTTATTTGTAATTCTATTTTTATTGCTTTCGCATTCTTAACATGCAAGTACACTACTCTATTGAAATTTAATTCTATTTTTTAAAATATTTTATTTTTATATAATAATTATTGTATCACAATTTCTTATTAACGCAATAAAAGATATACTAATTATTGAAACGCATTATTTTATAAATGTTTATCGTGGAAGGAGTCATCCTGATTTTTGAATCGCTTGAATTATGGTTAGACAAGGATAGATATTTCATATATTTAACATTTATTTGAAAACATTTTATGGGAGATAAATATGAGGATTGTTGGAGAACGACTGTAAAAGTTAATTACCGAACCTACGTTATTCAAAATTTGTTCAATTACAATATTGAAGACAACTTTAAACGATACAAAAATATTTAATAATTTTTAATGCATATAAAAAGAACTACGTTTCGCGTCGATTCTTAAGTTTTATCTATTTATTTTAACTTTTTTTTTTTTCCTCACACAATACGGGCTTCTCCAACGTCGAAAATATATTTAAATTGAATGTATTTGAGTATTATGCGACACTTTAAGAATAATGAATTTCGTAAAAACACGTGTTTAAAAGTTTCAAACTTTGTCTAATAAAGAAGGAAAGAAAAAACCTAATGCATCCTGAATTGCAAGATACAATGCAATGCAATCAAATATAACAGATTATAATTTTCTCTTTATTAATATAACGAATATTGAATATTCATTTGAATGTTATTTTTATATTTTCTATGAATGAATAATTAAATATTAAAACTCGTTTTCAACGATGTAAGAATTAAGTAAGATATTATTTCTATTTTTTATATTCGACTTGTAATGAACTCAAAAAGTCAAATTATCAAATTGTAAAGTTAATTTCAATGGGAAATAATTTCATAATTAGAAATTTTAGTGTATGCATATGTTAAAGAAAATCGCAGATATCGTATTTTATGTAAATATTGTGTTAAGTAAACATAACACAAACTTACATCTTTATATTTAATTCAACTATGAAGCTAAAATATATATATATAGATTCGATAGGAATCGATATAAAATTTATAAAATGTTAACATTTTACAAAGTGGCATTATTTTCCAAAATCAATTTGCGTAATACTGCATAAGTTAGTTAATTACTGAAAGTAATAATATATTCGATATATTAAATGTCAAAGACGTGTAAGTACGAAAACTTTCTACGGTCTTAACATTTTTGTTTGACAAGATAGAGGTAGTGAGAATAACAAAAAAAAAAAAAAAAAAAAAAAAAAAAAGGACTAATTTTTTCTGACAAAATTATTATTATTATACTTTTATTATGCATATTAATGTTAACCTTTAAGAATATTCTGTTGCCTAGTGATTATGCAAAAACGGCTTTATTTTAAATATGTAATTTTATCGTTAATACAATCGTTGGTAAAGTATTTATTGTACTATTTAGTTGTTATAGACGCTGCTCCTTGCAAAAGTCACGAAGATGGGGCTTAAAAATTATTAGGGTGGCGATTACATCAGTAGCGATCGAATATAATATGTCAGTGTGTCTCGCAATTATCTTTTGCTACAGTCTCGGTTTTGCGTGCAAACAGATATGAGGCGAGTTCATTGCCGTATGGGCGCAAATTTTATAATATAATTAACGAAATTGATCCAGAAGAGAGCCGCACATCGTTTGGCTGTTGTGTCGTCTTAATGAAATCGACAATTTGATAAAAATTATATAGTATATATGCGCAAACTGCCCTTTGCAAAAATATCTATTTACATTTTTAATACTGTGGGTATTATCCATTTTCATCGTTGCGCCAGGCTCGTATCAATAGCCACTTATTTGGGGAAATTCTTTCTCAATTTTAAATATATAATTAATTAATCTCGGGTTGTTCTTTTTTTTTTCTTTTCTTCTTTTGTTATATATAATTTAATAAAGCAGAAAATTTTTTCAATCAACCATAATCAATACTCATCGTAACTTTTGTTAAAATTATTCTCGTTGCCATTATTATTATTGTTATTGTTATTGTTATTAGTACGAATAATGAAATGGAAATCACTGTTATTGTTTTGTTCTATGTGTCGGTTGGTCATTTTGGATATAAAAAATGCCTTCAACTCCACACAGTGGAACGAGGCCTTACACGCAATGAAGTGGAACTGCCAAGTTCTAAAATATCTCATTTATATTTTCAGAAATTATTCGAGCAAATATTTCATTCTCTACGATACGAACGATCATCTGAAAGTACAGGAATGAATATCTTAGATAGTTGAAGATTCTGTATAATGTATTTAACGTATGCAACAATATGTAAAAAAAAATCTAAAACCTCATATATATATATATATATATATTATATGGATCCGGGGATACCTTTTAAAATTGATATCTGGATGGCATAATCCATCATCAACGTCGTGGAGAAGTTCATACATAAAATCAGTTCTTGTATGTGAAACCTTGAATTTAAAATTAATCATAACAATAAGGGAAACCGTTTTGTCAACTAACGCATACGTATTAATAAATCATTGAATTGTCGGACAATGGGGCTACAATAATAACGACGGCACTGATCGAGATCATTGACAACACCATTGTCGATAAGCTTATAAGCGGCACTTTCTCTCGCGCGCCTCCTAAGTCTGCTGTATCTTTGCATTCGAATCCACGTATTTTTACTTATTTTATCAGAATTATCAAGCATACATCCAAAGTAATTATTTGAGAGATCTTACCTATATAAATTCTCGGCCTGCGAGGACGAAGGACATCGCTATTGAAAAGATATCCATTCGCGTATTACGGTTAAGTGATATTAGATTTTATCGGAGCTTTTTACTAACTCATCGTAATTCACACATAAAATCTGAATAGACAATGATAGTGTTTCGAGCATTGCTGCTAGTATTATTAACTTTAAGTAAAAGAGCGCAAAAGAACGCAATATGAAATTTAAAGAAAGTTCCCCTTCGGACAAGTTTTTTAGAAACTCTTATGACCAAGAGTAAGATGTACAGATATTCTTACAAAAAATCTATGTAATATTACCAAGCTGGAGGATTTTAATGACGATAGTAATATCCTATCGACAATGCCATTTAAACAACAAAAATCGCAATTATAGATGCAAAAATATCCGCTTGACAAATGGTTGAGTTTCAGTTACCAAAGTTTACTTGTCGGGTTATCTATTTTTTTTGTTTTGTTTTGTTTTTTTTTTTTTTTTTTTTTA